CACACACACACACACACACACACACACACACACACAGACAAACACAGATACACACACACACACACACACACACACACACTGATTTAAGACAATGATATAATATCTTAGGAATGTGCCTTTGGGGACAACAACAATAACAACAACAACAACTGGTAGAACAATGACCCATATGAACATAGAATCCAACCGGATGCCTCTGGGGATCATAAATGAGTTATGACTGTAGAGAGTCTATCACACAAGGAACAACTTCCCAGGGCAATGCAACACTGTAGATTCAATTCCAAAATGGCACTTTGATGGCAGAAGTGGTGATCTGCCTATAATTCTTAAAGCAATAGCTACAGCTATGTTTCTGAACAGCAGGTCTGGAATTGAACTTGAAGAATTTCAAAGCCCTAATAAGATAATTGCAACAAAGAATACTTACTAATTGCAGAATTATAGGTAGTTGAGTTATGGGAATCTCTTAAGAAAGGAAATGGAGAGAGATAAGCATGGGTGCAGTTTTTAGAAGGTGACTGGTTCGCTGAAAAACAGTAAGAAAGACTAAATTATTCTCTTACATTTCTATACATGTCAATTTTCCCAATTTTAGAATGCTTATGCTAGGTGGATGAATAATTGGCCCTGTATGTTTAAGATTCAAAATTCTGAATTATGTGTGGGATAGAGAAATAATTACATTCGGCTTTTAATGGAATTGTTCTTATAAGGCTCAAATCAGACAGTCTCTAGGAGTCAGGCACACTTAAAAAATAAAAAATATGTTATATGATCTGGATTAGCTAAAGGTAATTGTAGGAAAAACACTACTCTGGAGGGAATTTTGGTAGCAGTAATAGTACTGCTTGATTCACTCTGAATTGATTCAGCGTGAAACAGAAGCAGTAAAGGACTTCCCTAGAGAATTCAAGACATTTCCAAGTAATATATATATACTTGCCCATTATTTCCAACTAGCATTTAATTTAGCACTTATATTTAAATTTTGAAGACAAACAAACAAAAATCATTCACTGACTTTTCCTGATTCCCAGATGTCTATATTACGGAAAATCCTTATAAGGAAAGTGTAAGAAATACATAAACACCCATTCTTGTTTCTCCTAAATTATTCAGTTTCTCTACTCTTTCAAGCTACCAGTACATTCCATAACATTTTTTTAAATTCCAATATTGTCATCCAAAGATCATTTAGTAGACAAGTCTCCATCTGTTCTATTAGAGTCCTAATATGGCATTTTATGCTTTCACTGCTTCCTATTTGGCATCTAGAGAGTAGCATGGAAAAAGGAGGATGCTTTTGAATGGTCTGACATGGAAGGGTGGATGGTAAAGAGAAAGAGAGATTTGAGACAGTGATTTTGGGGGGGGGGATATTAGTTAAAACTTTGCTACAGTTTAGAGTTTTTATTGATACATTTTTTTTGAATTATAGTCCTATAGACAGCAATTTGTTTTTGTTTTTTTATGGAAACATGGGCTACACCTATTTCAATAAATACTTTAAATATTTAAGAGAAACTTCTGTGAAAAATACAGTTATTATAATTCCCAAATGATTGAAACAGTGTATAACCATAATTTTATAATTTTGTGTTTCTCTAGTTCTCAATACATAATGCTTAGTAGGAATACCCAATCAGTGAGTTAGTTTCTATGCCAGTCTACACAGGTATTTAGTTTATAGAAAGGCTCTGTTGGTTCTTCACTTCCAAAACACTTTGCTCTAGATCAGTGCATGAAAAAACAGAAAACACATTCAAATAGGTTATTCCATTTCATTCAAGAGCTTGTGCAGTTCTTGCACAATAATGAACATGAAGTTGTTATTCAATCTCGCTTATATCACTATGTGAAGCCTTGCTAGAAGTATTTGCAGAATGCATTTATGCAGGCATGTGGAGAAGTGTTCTGGTTTCATTTTGGTCACATTTCTGCAAATCTAAGATTATGGCTTTTATGTTTGCATACAGGATCATCCTGCTAGAACAAAACATGCTGGTTTTTAGTGAATTGTTCTTTTGGAGTGTTGCAAACCATTGCATTCTTGTGCTTGAACTGAATCTCCATGAATACTTTGAATATAAAGCAGCTTAAAGAAATGGGGTACCATGAGCCTTCTTAGACTTTCCAGCAGAATAATATCCATGACAAACAGATCCACATATCCGATACAAAAGATTGGGAAGTCCTCTAGAACAGATTTTGAAAGAATCACAGAGAAATGCAGCAGAGAGAAGAATAATGAAAACGCTCATGAAGAACCGTTTTACCACACAGAAAGGTTTCCTTCTACAGATAGAACCTATTAAAGCAGGCAATTTTAAAAATGTAAGCAAGTATTCTGCGTATTAGTTCAAAACTAGAATACTTACTGTACCAAAACTTCAACATACTGCTAGGATTCTCATCAATCTTCCCATCAAACCAGCATCTCCAGAAGAAACCCTCATGGTGGAACATAATCATCTCTTCCTGCACAAAAGAAACTAAGAACTTATCATATATTTGTATGAACCCATGTTCTATACTTTATGATGGGTTGATCACAATTCTATAACGTCCTGCTAATTCTGAGTATAACTGACCAAAATAGAAATCAGAGAAAGTAACCTCCTGATTGTTACTGGCTGAAGTTAAAATCAGAATATTACTTATGCATTCAATGGTTTTCTAAACAAGAACAAAACAGACACATCTCTGATAACACTGCAAGAGATTATTCCTAGAAATAAAAAGTATACTAACCCTAGTGCGATTCACATCTTCAGAACACTTCCCAACTTCTGTAGCCAGAAGCCAATAGTCTGTCCCAAAAGCAACCAGAAAAAACAAAATCCCAAGAGCTCCAAAGAAGCCTCCAAAAAATATTCCAACACTCAACTTCATTGCTGATTTGTTCTTTAAAAATAATTGATAAATTTAAAATATATATTTCAGGGTGTTGGGAGAGAAATGTTAGATAAATTTAGTTAAGAATTATGTTGCTTATGCTATGGCTTGGATTTGTGGTCAATTAAACTGCAACCTAACAAATGAAGATAGACTTCTATTTTGGGACACTCTCTGTAACAACTTTACTGTATCTTCCTTAGCTGGCATGACCAGCCAAAAATAGCTGACCTTCCTTTAGCTAGCTATTGGCTTGAAATACTGTTGCACATGGTACATCCACATATGAAGAAGAGGGATGAAATTACTGTCCCCTTATTATTTCTGCCTAGGTTGGATTTCAATATCCAATTCTGACAAGCAGACACACACACAGATACATACATATCCTATAATCAATTTATCTTCTTCCTAATAGTCGTTCTCTGTCACAGGCAAACATACAATGTACAGTGCAAATTAAGTTGCAGACATGCAGGCACATTGAACTGTATCATCAGATAGATAAAAACACTTAAGTCTCATTGACTGATTGACTATCTCATTCTAAGGCAGCAATCAAGACATTTAAAGCTGAAATGTGGTGTCCACTTGCTTTTTTAAATCGTCTTTAAATTAGAGCATACATGTCTAGCTCAAATTCAGAATTAAAACCACATATCTGCAGACAAGATTTCAGCATTTAATATGCTATTATATTCACAAGAAAGCAGAAATATAGAAAGTCCTCCTTTGTACGCTTTAATGAGATTTGGGTATAGAGAAAGTGGTTTTTAATGGCAGCCAAGTAACACAACTACGCTTTTAGAAAACAAGCTGTACTATTATTTTTCAATTTCAAATATAAACAGATGTTTTCTGCATCCTGATGCCATCCAGATGCTCTGGGAATACATATCCCAGAAGAACAAATCTGTATTATTGATGATTTGGTTCTCTTGGGATTCTGGAAATTTTGCTCTGCATACCTCCAAAATATGTGAGATTGGGATGGTGATATCTGGGTTTGCACTGCCAAAGAGTTAAGGTTTTATTTAGTTGTACGGATTTTCTGTGTGGTAGTTGGACATCTTCACACCAGTCTCCCTGCATGCCTCCCCCCCTCTCTTTGCACATAGTGGTCTGTTTAAACCAGGGGTCCTCAGATTCTTACGTCAATGACTCCTTCATGAAGTTTCACATTGTTCATCGACCTTCAAACACATTACATAGAAATAATTTAATAAATACTACTTTAATTAGTAAAATAATAATAACAATAGTTAACAGTCTCATTGACCATTAGAAGTCAATATTGACTACTTTGGAGAACCCTGATATAAATAAATTTGTTGAACTAATNGAATCAGGCTGAACCAGGAGCAACCCACCTCTATAATAAAATTAAAAAGACGTATGCAGTAACAGAAATGTTTACACAGAACTATAATCAATCTAACAGAATGAAACAAGGGAAAGAAAAGATAAGTAATTGGATTCCGGATGTCAAATCTGAGTTTTAAGCAAGCATGTATGTATTCTGTAGAAACACCTAATGAGTTGTTTCTGAAAGAGACAGAAATTACTGGAAGCAGAGGCTCTTATTTTCTTGGTCTGTCAGGAGAGGGAGACAAAGTTTGAGGGTTGATCTTGAAGGAGAGAATTAGGTTTTCTATTCTCTTTCCAAGGGCTTGAAAATAAATTGGGATACCTTTTCTTGAAGGGACTACCACAATCCCAAGAGCACTTTGCTAAATGGATTACTTCCTTATTATATAAAAAAAGAAGGCATTTTTAGATACTGTCCCACAAAATGTGAGTTTAGATTTTCTTCTGGAGGTATTTTGAATATGGCATGTTAGAAAAAGCCAGAGGGACTTTGCTGGTATTATATTGTGAAGAAGTATTTTGTGATAGATAAATAAATAGACACGGAATGATTGGGATATATAATATACATATAAATTGGAAAAAAATGTTATCCCTTCCTTCAACGAGGCTTTTTCAAGAAACATCCCCAGTGAAATCCAAGGTGCTTTGTGCTTAGCCCACACAACCCTCTCCAGATCCTTGCATTGCATTTATGGTTTCAACTACACAACCTACAATTTTAGGATAAGGAATGTTGCTTTGGGATAACTAACTTTGGACAGCACATGAAACTTACCAGCAGCAATGAAGAAACCTCCTCCTATTTTGTAGAGGATGTGACTACCAAAAGGTGCAGCACAGATGATGAAGAAACTAGCTACCACCACAGTGACCACTCCAAGGAGCATGAAAATTGACCAGAAACCACGGTAAACTGGAAATGGGGACAAAAGAATATTGAAAAGAGATTTTAGAGAGAATTTTTTTACAGAATCTCTCCAGCCTTCCCTGACTTTTGTTTTTTTCATTAGCAAGCTGAACATTTATTCCAGCACAGCCTCCTGGTAATCAGTAATTTAAAGCACCATATGTCCTGCATTACACAGGAATGCCAAATGCTATCAGATCATCTTGGAATATAATGATGCATGTGAAGAGCATTATGAATCCCCGTTGCTTGGTATCTGCTGGAGAGACATGCGGTTAATCAGTTCACTTGCTTGGCCAATGGAAATTGTTCATAAAATAATGTGCTGAACTGTAGCCAAGATTCTTCAAGATATTTGCATGGTTTTACCAGATACCATTGATCTCACTAAAGTATAAACAGAGCCTAGAGAGAATGTAAAGAAAAGTTTAGAACATAGCCAAGATAAGTTACAAAATTGTTGAAAACTAGAATTGAGTGCTTTCAAGAAATGTATACTATATATTCACCAAAATGTATTTACATATGGTTTTAAAGTCCAAATTGAAAGTATCAATAGAGAGACAAGCCAAAATATGTATTCTTTAAAAAGTCAGAATTGCTAATAACTGGAATTGTTCAGACAGTACATTTCTTTGTGTATTTTTCAAAGCAAATATCAAAAATCATTGTGTTAAGGGCAAGCAATATTAAAGATTCTGGATAATGATCAATGCATTAAGAGTGTGGTAACATGGGGTGTTCCTCCCTCAAATATTCATAATAATAAAGTAATTGACTAATTAGGCATATATTTTTTAGGAATCTCTTTATAAAAACTAAGATCATGGAAATCCATTTATTTTATTCACTGTAAATATAATATAAAAATAAGCAAATGTTAAATTATTGTGAAAAAGCCTAAGTATGAATCCATTTGCATAAAACTAAAATGCACATCCCACTACAAAAAAAACTTCTTAGGATTATACATAATACTGATATTTAGATTATATTTTCAACTATTGTTTTATGAATCAGGTTGCACAAAATACTTTAAAGTGTATGAATATTCTAGAAATTAATTTCCTCATATTGTATTAAAAAAGAAAGTACTTCTATTTCAATCAATAATTCAATAATTAAAACAATATTAATATTGCATTAATTAAGAAAGCACTCCTATTTCTATAATTTGAAAGATTTTAAACCAAACTTTATTTACATTGTAATACAAATAATTTTAACTAAAAAAGACTATAAATGTATTAGGGTTGCAATGTTCCCTGATATATAAATGAGATTCCTTTAGAAAGGGGTTTTAGAGTCTTTCAAATTATAGAAATAGGAGTGCTTTCTTAATTAATACAATATTAATATTGT